TGCATTGAATTGTAGATATTGTTGAATTTCTTGTTTAATTTCATCTGTGACCCATTGGTTGCTGAGTAGGGTGTCATTTAATTTCCATGTATTTAAGGTTTTTTTTTCTGGTTTCTTTTGTCCTTTATATCCAGTTTCATTGCACTGTGGTCAGATAATATGCATGGGATAATTTCTGTTTTCTTACATATACTTAAGCATGGCCTATGGACCACTATGTGGTTGATTTTTGAGAATGACCCATGTGCAGTTGAGAAAAATGTGTACTCAGTTGTGTTTGGGTGGAACACTCTGTATATGTCCACCAAGTCCATTTTTTTCAAGCTCTGGTTCAGTTCTGTTATTTCTTTGTTAAGTTTTTGTCTGGTTGACCTGTCTTTTTGGGATAAGGGCGTGTTACCGTCTTCTGTTAAGACTGTGGTATTGGATATTAGATTTTTCATGTCCATTAATATTTGTTTTATATAATTGGGTGCTCCAGTGTTTGGTGCATACATATTTATGAGTGCTACCCCTTCCTCTTGAATTTTTCCCCTAACTGGTATATAGAGGCCTTCTTTATTTCACTTGATCATTGTTGGTTTGAAGTTGAGACTGTCTGTGAATAGGATTGCTATCCCTGCTTTTTTCTGAGGTGCTGGGGCATGTAATATTGTGTTGTATCCTTTGACTTTCAGCCTATGAATGTCTTTATCAGTTAAATGTGTTTCTTGTACACAGCATATGGTTGGATTTTGTTTTCTAATCCACTGTACCAGTCTATTTCTCTTAATTGGTGAATTGAATCCTTTTACATTGATGGTTAGATTGAGATGTATTGACTTATGATTGACATGTTATTTACCTGTTGTCGTTTACTCCTTTTTCTCCTGTGTTTATTTGCTTGCATTATTTAGTTGGTTGCTTCCGATCTCATTCTTGGAGTTCTGATCATTTTGGTCCCTCTCTAGAACTTCTTTCAGGAGCCTGTGTAGGGTTGGCTTTGTCATCATGAAATTCTTTAGTTGTTCTTTGTCATGAAAGAATTTCACTTCTCCATCAAACTTGAAAGAGAGTTTTGCAGGGTATGGTAATCTGGGCTGGAATTTGTTTTCATAGAATACTTGATGTACTCTGCTCCATGCTCTTCTTGCCTGCATGGCTTGTGAAGAGAAGTCAGCCATAATTCTGATGGGTTTTCCTTTGAATGTGATCTGCTTCTTTTCTCTAGAAGCTTTCAGTGTATTATTCTTGTGCTGAATTTCTTTGATCTTGACTATTACATGTCTCGGTGTGTTTTTAATTGGGTTGAGGTTACTTAGTGTTCTATATGCTTTGCTTACCTGAAAGTCAGATTGTTTCCTCATATTTGGGAAGTTTTCTGCTATTACTTCTGCCCATATTTTTAAATGTGATTTGTATTGACTCCTTTTTTCTCACTGATGCCTATTAGTCTCACATTGTTCATCTTTGCATCATCTTGCAGGTGATGGATCATTTTTTCCTGCATCCTATTTGTTCATAAGAGATCCTTTCTTACCTTTTCACTAGCTGCACCAGCATCTTCAAGATCTGAAACTCTGTCTTCACTTTCACTTAAACGGTTTTGCAAGTTTGTGATTGGAGATTTTAAATTCTTCTATATCTCTTTGACTCTGCTTCATGCGATCTATTTCTTTCCTGTATTGCTCATTCAAGGAATGTATCATTTTTCTAATCTCCTCTATTTTTTTAATCAATGTCTTCTTTAGAAGCAGTTATTAATTCTTTAATTGCAGTGTTTTTTTTTCAGATTGGGTTTCCTCCCTATGTTTCTGTAGTTGCTTCTTTACTTCAGATGCTATGAGTTCTGAGAATTCTTTTCCTATTTCAAAAAATTTCACTCTGAATTCCTCCATAACTTTCTGCTGTCGCTTATTTACTATTGATGTTATTAATTCATACATTTGAGGTAAGCTAGTAGGAAATAATTCTGCTCTGATTTCCTCTATGACTTTCTGCTGTTGGTTATTATCGACACTATTAATTCATACATTTGAGCTGAGCTAGTGTCCTCTGCACTTGTTCTAGGTGGGCATTGGGTTTCCTCCATATGTTTCTGCATTTGATTCTTTACTGTAGATGTTATTAATTCAGGGATTTCTTTTTTTCATTTCCATTCTGAGTTCCTGTATTCCTTTTTGCAGCTGTTTCTTTATTTCAGAAGCGGTTGATTCATTGCTTTCAGCTGTGTGATTCCCAATTTGTTCTGTGTTAGTGTCCTCTGCACTTGCTATGGGTGGGCTTGGGTTCTGAGATTGCCCTTTGTTCCTTCTCATTGGTATTTTTTATAGCACTGTCTTCTGACCTTTGTTGTAGGTATTTGTTGCAGTTATAACCTTCGAACCTACTGAAGTTCAGGTGCAGATCTACAAAGTTTGGATTTATCCAGCTGTGCCTGGCTTGGGTCTGGTTGCTGTGCTCAGCTCCTTCCTGCTGCTGTCCTTGGGAGTAAACCTGTTGTGCCCCTGTGGCAAGATGTTCTGTTCCTGGACTAGCTGGGAGGTTCTGTCCCCTACTATCCCTGCAGGGATTGCAGCTGCAGGTTTTCACCTCAGGCCTGTATGCCAGGCCTGAGCTGAGTCTGGAGGGGACAAGGTGGAGTAGAAGGGAGAGGCAACTCTCCCACACACTCACTGGGCCTGGGCTAGGACTGGATCTGGGGGTCCCTAGAACACAGCAGAAATTCTCACGCAGCAGGCGGGGTGGGCTGGAGGTACTGTGGAGTGGTGTTGGGGGGTGCCAAGGGGGTGGAAGAGCATCTTACCCACACTGTGCCTAGGCTGGGACTGGTAGGTCTCACTGACGCAGCGTAGATGAAAGCTCTCTCACACACTCATCGGGCCTGGGCTAGGTCTACATCTCTTATGTGGAGTTTTTATAGTCAAAGTTTTCTTCAATTTTTAAAATTATTAGATTTTTTTTTCATATATTTAGTACAGAGTCTACAGGGTCTCACTATGTAGATCAACCTCGTAGTGACTTTCCTGTTTTCAGCCTCCCAAGCACTGGGATTACAGGCATGGGCCACCACACCCAGTCTCAATCAGTGTCTCAATGCACTCTGAGGGTGGGGCCTGCATGGCATAACAGGAATCAAACCCTGGTTGGCCGCTTAGCTCTGCCTAAGCAAGCGCTGTAGTCCACTGGGCTATCTGGCCAGCCCTATTTCTTAGATTTTTTGACATACCATCAGTGATAGCCCTGATTAAGTACACTGAATTTTTTAGTTAATATTTTTCTGAAAAAGTGTTGAAATATAGTGGGATTACTTTACTAGTTAAGTAAATTTATAGGGCTTTTAAGTCTTATGTTCAGATTACTAGTATCTAGGGCATTTAAAAGCATTGCTAAACCTGATTCCAAAATTACATGGGTTTTTAAAATGTTCTTTTCCTGTTAAGGCATTTTGAATTAAAAACAACTCGATTTGCTCAACTTATTTCATTTGCTGAGCCTGTGATGTTTCTAGTTCAAAGACTTTGAAAATATTTAATTAAAATTGCTATGCTTCATTGGATGCCCACTCTAGGTGAAATAAAGACTTTTATATCAACAGAGGGAATAGAACATCAAAGGAGAAGGTGTTTTGGTGGCGCAGGGCCATGGAACACTGTGAAATCTGACAGGCGAATTTGTATCACTTTTAATGGTCTGCAAAATAAATGGCATGGTGCATACCTCTTAGAATTTTGTAAGGAATGCCTGCCATCCCCCAAAACTTACCTTAGACTCTTGAATTGGTAGACACATAGCTAGCATAAGGTTTTTTTTTTTTTTTTTTTTTTTTTTTCGGAACCGGGG